ATATTGAGGAGGGAGCAAGCTTCTTTTCTGCTGCTCCAGAGAATAGGAGAATAGGACTGTCCGCCCCACCGGGGGTGGTGGACCCATTATAATGGTCCGCCCTCGAAGACTAATGGAACCAACTGGATTCCAGAAAGCCTTAGAGGGTTTAATGGTTGGTAACACCGGTGATTCTGTCGAAGCTTTGGTTAACACTTGGAACACTGATCTCACCAAGCCTATTGACATGATTGCTCCCAAGTGTCCTTTCCAGCCCACTCAAAACCATAAGCCTTGGTTTACAGAGGAGCTTAGGAAGATGAAGCAGGTTAGACAACAACTAGAGCACACCTGGCAGAAGACTCGACTCTTATCCAACAAGACTCGTCATAGGAACTTTCTTTGGTCCTATCGAGAGGCAATACGTGCAGCGCAGAAATCTTTCTGTTCTGTTCTGCACGTATTGCGTCTGCAGAGTCCCATCTAGCAAGCTGTTTAGGGTGGTAGGGGAACTGATGCGGGTTCCACCTGCGCAGAACCCATTACTTAACCCAACAACGGCCTGCTTGACGCATTTAACAACTTCTTTGCAGATAAAATCTCTCAGATAAGAGCCGACCTGGACACCAGTTTGATAACAGAATCAATAGACAAGGTATCCAGCAGCTCTGTTGATATAATTTTACTGGATCATTTTCAATCTGTGAGTACTGAGGACATGGACGAGCTCCTTGGTAGAGTGAGGAAAACTACCTGTCCCCTCAATCCTTGTCCTTCATGGCTGGCCGTCCAGGGAGGGGATGCGTTGAGGGTGTTCCTTAAGGACATCATTAACGCATCCCTCAGAGAGGGCTCTGTTCCACCTTGTTTAAAGGAAGCGGTAGTTAGGCCACTCCTGAAAAAGCCCTCCCTAGACCCCCTGGATATGAATAACTCGTTGTTACAATTTCTGAGCAAAGTGATCGAGAGGGCGGTTGCTCTTCAATTCAAAGCTGTCTTGGATGAAACCGATTATCTAGATCCATTTCAAACTGGCTTCAGGACAGGCTTTGGGGTCGAGACTGCCATGGTTGCCTTGACCATGGCAGTCTGAGCATCAACAGGGGTATGCGTCTGAGCATCAACAGGGGTAGTGTGACCCTGTTGGTGCTCTTAGACCTCTCAGCAGCTTTCGACACGATAGATCACGGCATCTTCTTGGACCGCCTGGGGGAGTTAGGTATCAGGGGCACTGCATTACAGTGGTTCCGATCCTTTCTCTCAGGCAGATCTCAGAGGGTCCTGCTCCGGGACAGTAGATCCACTGGGAAGGAACTTAAGTGCTGCATCCCCAAGGTGCCATACTGTCCCCGATGCTATTTAATATCTATATGAAGCCACTGGGAGAGATTATTCGGAGACATGGGGCTGGGTGTTATCAATATGCGGATGACACCCAGATTTATTTCTCCTTGTCCCGGTCATCAGCCTCGACTTCAGATGGCGTCTCTCCTCTCAATGACTGTCTTAAGGCGGTAATGGGCTGGATGAGGAAAAACAAATTGAGATTGAATCCAGACAAAATGGAGGTACTTACAGTAGGGACCCCCAAACCAGGTATTGGGACACAACCTCCAGTCCGGGACTCTCTGTGAAGGACTCTGTTCACAGTCTGGGGGTGCTCCTCGACTCATCGCTCCAGATGACAAATCAGGTGAATGCAACAGTCAGGAGCGCCTGCTATCAGCTTCGGCTGATACGCTAGCTGCGCCCTTTCCTGGAAGTAAGGGATCTCGAAACTATGGTACATGCACTGGTAACCTCTCATCTTGATTTCTGTAATGCGCTCTACATGGGGCTACCCTCGTGCTTGGTCTGGAAACTTCAGTTAGTACAAAATATGGCAGCCAGGCTGGTCTCTGGCGCATCTAGGAGAGACCATATTACACTGGTCTTGAAAAGGACTCCACTGGCTGCTGATTAGTTTCCGGGCCCAGTATAAGGTGTTGGTCATTACCTTTAAAGCCCTGAATGGCTTGGGCCCAGCCTATCTTCAAGACCTCCTCCCCCCGTACAATCCACCCCGCGCTCTTCGGTCCTCTGGGAAGAATCTATTACAGGTGGAAAAATCTAGATTATCGACTACTTCCCAGAGGGCCCTTTTGATGACTGCTCCTAGACTATGGAACGGCCTGCTAGACGAGATCCGTCATTTGTCAACTTTAGACAGCTTTAAAAGAGCTGTCAATGCAAGCTGTGGGAAAGTCCTTACAGCAATATGAGTTAAAATGGAAAGAGATAATGAGAAATTGAGGGTATTAAAATAAACATGTTATAGGAAACGGGATCTTTATTTAGAAAGAAGGAAATTGATGTAATATAGGAAATAGAGGTATAATTGATGTAATACAGGTGATAGGTTTTTGTATGTTAAACAAGTTTATATTAGGTAAGTGGTGTGATACCACTGGCTGTACTTTCTTGTTTTGCGTTTTTCTCTTTCTCTTTTCCTTCCTTTTTCCCCCTTCTTTTCTTTTTTTTAACGATTAATAAAATTTATTAAAACAATAAATAAATAAAAGAGCTGTCAAGATGGATCTCTTCTGGCAGGCCTTTCCCGACTA